TATTTGTAGGTGGTTTTTTAACATGATAAACATTATCATTTCATTGTCTAAGAATCAATGGACTCGACTAAGTCATTTTAATATTTATAAGCGTACAGAGGTAACTACATGTACACGTATATTCTATTTTAAGCTTGGCCTACATGTTTGTAAAATGCAGGTTTTACTGTCACAAATTGAGTTAACCTAGCTACACACAGCAGAGCTACACATACACTGTAGGTAAACACCAACAGATATTTGCAAAAGTAAAATCAAGTCTTAACCACGCCTACCATCATTTGACGAAATTTCACCTCTTGCCAAATACGCTGGTCTGATTTTCAGAATGTAACTGATTAATGCAAGTATTCAAATTTATCAAATTTAATATACCTGTTTAAAAAAAAGATATTAGGCATATAATTTTGTATGTCAGACACGTCAGAAGCATGTTTTGTTTACAAAAGACTCATTAGTAACCCTCAACTAAAACTAAAGGCTCTAAAGAGCCTGTGTCGCTCACCTTGGTCTATGTGCATATTAAGCAAAGGACACAGATGGATTCATGACAAAATTGTGTTTTGGTAATGGTGATGTGTTTGTAAATCTTACTTTACTGAACATTCTTGCTGCTTACAATTATCTCTATCTATAATGAACTTGGCCCAGTAGTTACAGTGGAAAATATTTTGTAAAAATTTACAAAAATTTACAAAATTTATGAAAATTGTAAAAAATTGACTATAAAGGGCAATAACTCCTTATGGGGTCAATTGACAATTTTGGTCATGTTGACTTATTTGTAGATCTTACTTTGCTGTACATTATTGCTGTTTACAGTTTATCTCTATCTATAATAATATTCAAGATAATAACCAAAAGCTGCAAAATTTTCTTAAAATTACCAATTGCTTGATTGGTCTGAAAATTTCAGGGCAGAATAGATCTTGACCTAATGAACAATTTTATCCTCATCAGATTTGCTCTAAATGCTTTGATTTCAGAGATATGAGCCAAAGACTGCATTTTACCCTATGTACTATTTTTTAGCCATGTCGGCCATCTTGGTTAGCAGGCGGGGTCATTGGACACATTTTTTAAACTAGATACCCTAATGATGATTGTGGACAAGTTTGGTTAAATTTGTCATAGTAGTTTCAGAGGAGAAGATTTTTGTAAAAGATTACAAAAATTTACGAAAAATGGTTAAAAATTGACTATAAAGGGCAATAACTCCTTAAGGGGTCAACTGACCATTTTGGTCATGTTGACTTATTTGTAGATCTTACTTTGCTGAACATTATGATGTTTACAGTTTATCTCTATCTATAATAATATTCAAAAAAATAACCAAAAACTGCAAAATTTTCTTTAAATTACCAATTTAGTGACAGCAACCCAACAACAGGTTCTCCGATTAATCTGAAAATTTCAGGGCAGATAGATCTTGACCTGATAAACAATTTTACCCCATGTCAGATTTGCTCTAAATGCTTTGGTTTCAGAGATATAAGCCAAAATCTACATTTTACCCCTATGTTCTATTTTTAGCCATGGCGGCCATCATGGTTGGTTGACCGGATCACCTGACACATTTTTTAAACTAGATACCCCAATGATGATTGTGACCAAGTTTGGTTAAATTTGACCCAGTAGTTTCAGAGGAGAAGATTTTTGTAAAAGTTAACAGACGACGCCGGACGACAACGACGATGACGACAACGACGACGGATGCAAAGTGATGAGAAAAGCTCACTTGGCCCTTCGGGCCAGGTGAGCTAAAAAGTAAAGTCGTTTTCGGTTCCTTCAACAACACGGTCAACAGCATTACTTTGTCAATATTTTTTACCGAATTTAACAGCCTGATTTTTACTGTTTCTGCACCATTGCATCTTTATACATGAGATAGGTATATGTAACACATCTTTATTGGCTGATAAGACGAGTTCCTGATAACTTACATACAATTATGAGGAAATATATAGTGATAATCATCCTCAAAGGGAACTACAGGGTGCTAAGGTGGGCAAGCGCATATTCTGAGTACTAATCTACTATATATAATGTTTAAATTTGGAAATGGTGACCCCTGAAAATTTTCTTTCATCTCCCTTTTAGCATCAAGCTCAAAGAAGATCATAGAACAATCCTATGGGTGAAAAAGGGTTGAAGTTTTAAACTGTTGTGCACTTTATAAATTTAAGTTATAAAGAAACGATCCTTCCAAATAACCTAGAATGGAAGCAAGTCAACTCGTACCACGTCAACTCATACCAATGTTAACTCGTACCACTGCGAAGTTGTATCAACTTGTACCACTGCAAACTTGTACCATTAAAAATATATGCATTGTTTTTGAAAACCTTTAAAAATATTAATTGATTGTTCAAGGGAGACAACAAAGCCAATCTGCTACAGTTTTCAGGGGCGGATCCAGCCATTTATAAAAGGGGGTTCCTAACTCAGGATAAAGGGGGGGGTTCCAACTATATGTCCCCATTCCAATGCATTGATCGTCAAAAAAAGGGGGGTTCCAGCCCCCTGACCCCCCCCCCCCCCCCCCCCCCCCCCCCCCCTCCCCATGGATCCGCCACTGGTTTTCTCTATTCAATGAACCAAGGAAAAATATGCTACAAATTGGTCATTGTGATTTCAAATTATATACTTTTTAATGACTTATGAGTTATTTAGTGAAATTTAAATATTTATTCATCATTTAACAGCTTTTGAAAGCATTTAACATGTAAATAAGTTGGTACGAGTTTGCAATAATTTGTACGAATTTACCGTGTTACTGTTACGAGGTTGCAGTGGTACGATTTTTCTTTTAGTGGTACGAGTTGACGTTGGTTCGAGATAACTATAATTCTTAATTATAAATGAATATTGCGAAACTATTTTAGTATAATCAATTATTTCAGTTCTTTTTTTTTGTGGTTAGTGTTTCTGTTTACATTTTAATGTATGACAAATTTCTGAAATTTTATTGATTTCCCCGTTATCCTCGTTTACTTTCTACATCTGTAATCGACGCTTAAGTTTTTATCCGTTTAAAAAGATAATTTCTACATTCCCTTTCAATAAAACTTACCTTACGAAGTAAAAGAATAATGTTTAGATCTGATTTACATGATATGTCTGATCGATGATCATAGTTACACATACGCAGGAAGCCATATTGAAATGAAATGAGGTCACTTTCTAGTAAATCGAGTTATCGCGCTTTGGTTGCAAACACTTATTTATTATGAAATTTTCCCATGTGTAAATCTGAAAAAGAATCAGAATGAATCAATCATTTAAACTATTTCTTTTTCGAGCTAACTTTGCTATTAACCCTCTTGCTGTCGGTAGTTTTTTATGGTTGCATTTCGTGTGCCAGAAAATACGACAGCTCGACGTCTGTGACGTCAGATGACCAACAATGACGTTATTCGATACATGACGTCACACCCTAATGACCGTTACATTTGGGACCCATTTAAGAAAAATATTGCACTGTGTAATCTTCAGTATTTTATTTGAAAGAGATACAGCAATGATGAGAAGCTTGTATAAATTAAAACATGGACATATGTGTCCCTCCGGCAGCAAGAGTGTTATATTAAAGGAATGCAGCTTATCCATCATTAGAGATCCATCGAATTTTACACACTACAAATAAGCCATACCATTATGAAATGAAGCTTTGTTTCAAATTTCCTAAACCGCAAATCATAAGTCATGACTCGCAGTAGAACATTTACCGAAATCCTATTGTTAGCAGCTTTGTCAGCTGGTGAAAGCACAACTGCGGCACCTAATTTTGTTTTTCATGTCTTGATTTCGATTTTGTAAAGCGATCTTGAGAAAGAAACAAAATGAAGAGTAAAATATGATAATCAATCGCAGTGAAACATTTTTTTAAAGAAAAGAATCCTGTAATCTTGCGTTTTTACCTTCAATGAGCAAAACGACAAATGTCACTTTACTTGAGCGGTAGCCGCTGACTGTTTTGAAGCGGCACCTTATTCATCACCAATTTTTGGGAAATTGTTTTCTTTGAAGTGGTTTGTCGTTCGGGTTTTTTTTCTTCAGTTTTTTACATTTTACTTTTTGAGCATGGTGTTTTCTACATTTTTCTTTTTTGGGCATGGTGTTTTCTACATTTTTCTTTTTGGGCATGGAGTTTTCTACATTTTTCGACTTTTTGATTGTCCCCTTGGTATCCTCTCTCTCATTTTTGATAAAAACAAAACTATGTTTTCCGGTTCTAAATTGATCCACCAAATTCACGTTTCCAAAACTGAAATTTTCATATATACAATTATTTATTATGATATCCATGTATTAACAGCTAAAGTACTGTTCTCTTTCTTTCATACAGTATCTGAAAATCTTATAGTCGCATGTTTATAGAATATTCACAAACGCAAGTTATGGTAATCGTAATGTTGCACAGCTTCAGGAAAATCTAGAACAATTCCTTGGTCGCACCAAATTTACTAAAGGATAATTTATTTTTCTAGAACTGGCTCGATACCGCTGCTGGTGGCCTGTTAGTCCCCGAGGATGTCATTCCAGTAGTCAGTGCTTCGCCACTGTCATGATTTATAACATGCAATTATTAAATTTTCCAATTAAAAAAAAAAAAAAAAACGTTCAGAAAACCCTTCAGGCAAAGTTGACCTTGGATGTTTTTGCCTATTCTTAGGTTTTGGTCCCATTCGGTCATATAACTCCAAAGGTATTTAAACATCCCCGGCTTTTATAATTTTTCTTAATTTGAGCATTATGAAGTTGAATACAAAAAATGATTCGAACACATCAAACTTAAAAGTGTTAGTCTTTTTTCAGATAAGCTTACTAGAAGCACTCTGGCTTCATCAATAACATTGTCCTTGTATTCCTTAAATAACAAACACCCGTCTAAAGAAAAATTTAACACCAATAATATGTAAACAAATATATTATCATGCCCTATACATGTTTGCCGGAAATTGTAGTACAAAAGTTGTTTTACTTTATGCTAAATAACAAACGATCGGAAGTTTAGCATCATCAACCAATTTTAATGCGTTGTAAAATGAATTTCGTCGTATCAATTTAAAAGATGTAAACATTTTATGAATGTCTCATTTGAAAGAAGTCTAACAGTGGTAAGTATAATACTATAATTTATTGATGGAATACATATAGAAGATGACAATTATTTATGAAAATTACTTCTCATTTTTCATCTCAACTTTTCAGAAAATTTACGTCGGTCCCAGCAACTACACCACGATTTTTTTTTTGAATAGACGCTCTCAAATGGTATCAAGTGGAAAACTGTATCATGTTCTCAAAATTCTAAATTATTTCAGAATTGATACCGAATCACTCCTTTAAGTTGTCCTGGTTTAAAACTTTAACTGTTCCTTTTTCTGGTTATAACAATATTAGAGTTTATAATTTTATGTTTGAGGAATATGTAGTCTTGACCCAAAGATAAAAAACAAACATTGAAGGTTATCTTATAGTTCTGAGTAGAATTTTTATTTGCTCTATGGTAAATGTTGTATAACCAATAGCAGTTTGGTACAATACCATTATAATATATAACAAAATATATCTATATAATTATTATTGAACCTGAACTGGGAGAGCAGAAAAACTCATTTAAAGATCATATGCAATGGTGTTCTTTCTTATAGAATAATAGTTTACTGTCAAGAAATTTTCCCGACTCGCCTTCAGAGATGACGCGACCATTTGGTCTAATCATTATTGGGATCTGCAAATCAGGTAAGCTTTGTATGATAAGCAATTTCTATAGATGTTTTCAAAATTCTACTAAAATGTGATCGAATGTACCATTTTTGAAAAATAACTGCAAATGTCCGATCTATCATAGATCGCCGGTTGAACCGTAGTAGTTAGGGCATGCACAGTTCTTTAAAAAGTCAAAACAACGTACGTTTGAGACCTTTTACGTCGAACTGTCATTTTTACGGTAGAGATAATCAATTTGTTAACATGATGCAAGAATGAAAAATAGTATCCCCTCGTCTTTACAACTTATGATCTTGTACCTTTGGAGCGGTTTGAAATTGACGATGAACTCAAGACATGATCATTTTTCAAAATTTAAACTAAATTGTTTTTATATGCCCTAAAAGATCGACTCCTGACTGGACACCACCAGTCTGTCAAATAGCAGCCTGAAACACTGACATTCAATGTTTTGAAGCTAATACCAAGTAATTCCTAGAAAACAAACGCAAATTTAGAGTGAATCCTATACAGTAGCCTCTGTTACACATTTTCATTATAAAACACAGTATATTATCATTTGGATCACACAGTCACACAGTCAAGTGACTGTGATGTTCAAAAGAAAAAGACCTGCATGAAACTAGGAAAAGACAAATACTAGTGTACGGACATAAATTGCCTTAGCCGTGTTTGGCACAACATTTCGGATTTTTTTTGTTTTCAATGATATCCCAACTACGTTTTATGACTGAGAGCCACTAATGCGTCTTCTGTAGACGGAACGCTCGTCTGGCGTAACAAATAACAAGACTGGTCTCTTTGAGGTTCTTTTATACAAACAAACAAAACACTGATATTGAAGTTTGGACAGAGGTTTTGATAGATGCCCTTTCCACTTTAAAATATTTCTATTCAGCATACAGAGTCTTTTTTCTCGCTGTGTTGAAGACCCATTGGTGGCCTTCGGCTGTTTTCTGCTCTTTGGTCGGGTTGTTGTCTCTTTGACACATTCCCCATTTCCATTCTCAAATTTATCTTTTGCCTGCTTTATCAGCACTAGTATATATGACTGCGATTTTTGAGAAATTTCACAGACTGAAAGTTCAATGTGAATCAATACGTATGATCACGTATAGGTTAGTCCTGGACAGTTCTGATAAACATGGAGCAAGACTTTCACGATTTGTACAAATAACGAACAGTTGATACTAACCAAAAATTACGATACCATGATCAAAAAGAAAACAAAGACGAAAAGTTACATGCTTTTTCATTGGCTATTATTATTTGGCGTGAATAGTTGTATTCAAAGCGACGAAGAGGACCCTTCATATATTACCATTATGGCACTTTAAGAACAGTGTTTTTTTTTAAGAAATCTGGTTTATTGTTGGAGTGACATAGATCATCACAACCCTAGAAAATACATAGCTATTTGAACTCACACTGCCAAATAGATATACATGAAAGAAGTTTAAAAAGTCAATGTACATGGATACAAACCACGGTTTATAACGTGTTTTGTGGTATGATGACCCGGGAAAAATAAATCAGAAATTCGGCATTGTCTTTTTAGTTACAAATATAATCAAAGTACTGAACATCGGATGACCGCAAGTTCTTGTGGATGGTCACAAGCACTTGTCTCAGAAAAAAGAATCACATCTCTATACCTTAAAGTGAGGTTAAGGTACATAGATATATTTTTTTTTCTGAGACAAATTCGTGCGTAGATGATGAATAAATGACAGGGAATTCAACCTCACCGTAATAACTATTATATTGTAGTGATACAAATCAGTGTACTCTGGTTTGTTGTTATATATTATATTAATATAACAGTTACATGTATATATAATTTTCATCCATTTTTATAGCATTCTATTCTACTATTCTAATAAAAGTGCAGTGCAAGTGCATGGTGGACACTCTTCTGTAATAGTTCGATTTTTCTAATAGATTGGATTTGAGTCGGTATTCTTGATTTGTTATTGATATTTTTACGACAAAACATTTTCATATCATTTATCTATGTTCTTAAAATTTATTTTCATGAATATTTATTGATGAAATTGATATATAACAAGCGATAAGGAATATTACTTTGCGTTCGGTTATCAGTCAAAAACGAAAGTCACGTGTGCCTGTCCCTAGTGAGGAGCGTGTATTGTTGTCTTTGGTTGCTGTCTGTCAAATTTGTTTTTCGATCATTGTGTTGTCATGAATTTTCAATAGAATTGTTTCACATTTTGTCATGTTGGGCCTCTTATAGCCGACTATATGTTTACAACTACGAAAAATGGCCGCTACCGGGTGTGTTCTAGTCTTACAAGAGACATGTTTACACTGTCTTTCGTTGGATAAATAGTCAGCTCTATAAATATACTAATTATGACCTCTTCCCCATCACAACATTCTTTCTTACTGAACCTGATTTCACATGTTAAGAGATGCATGCATATCAAGAGAAGCTTACCCTGTCGACTCACCTGGTTTTGCTATGTTTTGATTTCATGCGATATTCTCATTGTTTTTGTCTTTGTTTAGTCAAACTAGGTTTACAAGTTTTAAACATCGTTAAACCACTGTTGCGTCCATGAGTTTTCCCAAAGTCATCCTTGATATTAAGCTCTTTATAACATCTCAAGAGAAAATCAGTGCATTTGTTGAAAAGGGTTTTTTGTTTATTGGACGAAGTTTGAGTGAAAATTGTTTGGTTATGTCTTTTTACAAGGGCAATTACATGAATGGTTTTGCATCATCCTGGTCCAATGATATTTTATTTCATACTTATCTTTCCTGTTATTCCCAGTAGTCATCTGATTAGTTACTGATTATTATAAAATTTTGTTTTCTTGACCAGTGCCACTGAAGCAATCTAAAATTAATGTGTCAGTTCAGGGTTTCATAGCCAATGTGGAATGTCAACTGTCCTACAAGAATGAAACCACAGGACCCATACAAACCAGTTTCGTTTTTCCAATGGATGATATGTCAGCTGTATACAAATTTGAAGCTGACATCAATGGAAATCACATCATCGCAGAATGTCAGGAAAAGGATGAGGTGAGGTCCTCCCTTTTGGAAATTTAACAAGCCAAGGCAGTACATTTCTAGCAATTATAATAGTTATTGAATATTTCTACAGTAAATGAAATCAAATTACCAAAAGTACAAACATCAAGCTTAATGTAATTACAGATTTTTATGCAAATGCCTGTACTAAGTCAGGAATATAACAGTTGTTTTCCATTTGTTTTATGTGTTTGAGCTTTTGATTTTTCAATTTGATAAGAGACTTTCCATTTTGAATTTTTCTTGGATTTCGTTTTTATTTTGTTATTTTACTTTTACAGCAACCACCCCAAAATAGTGTCTAAACCACACCAACATATACAACATTAACATTTAAAAGGATTTGATTTTAAACATAGATATGTGCCGGCAAACAATAACTAAATAGGTCAACCTATCTGGTGCAGATTTTGTCTTACTAAAGATCGCTGAAATATTCTATATCTGTCTGTAAGCAGTTTATGTAATGTAATTTACACGCAAAAACGATGTTGTTTGGGGCTTTATCGGCGGGGACAACAACATAGTTGTCATGGAGGTAGGACAGGTGTTTTGCAACATTTAAATGTAGCATAAGTATTCATAGACCCATTTAGTTTTTTTTAAATTCAGAGTTGTATCAACGACCTCAGTCACAGCCTTAATCTATTCGGAAAGAGTATCTACGTCTTCTTTCTCGCGTTTAACCCATTGATTGAAACAATTGTTCATTGGTCTTTTTTTGTTAACCTTTCATCTAAAATATTTCGTTTTCAAATTGATAGCTAAAGAAAAATGCGTCATAATTTGTACAAACATTGATAACATTTTCGCATTCATGTACCATAAAATTAAAGGTACATTTTTTTCTGCTGCAGATTCGCCTTTCAACAATTATTGTCTCTTTGGTAAATAAATGTTATTTTTCAGGCGAGAAGAACTTACGATGAAGCAATTTCTCGAGGACACACGGCAATGTTACTAGAGGAGGAAGATACAGCCGGTGACATCTTTGAATGTAAACTTGGCAATCAGCCAGCCGGACAGACAGCTGTATTAACAATGAGTTACGCTGTAGAACTATCATATCAGCCAGGTGGGGCAGTTAGGTTCACATTACCTACTGTTCTTAATCCTAGATACATGCCAGGTGAGAGAAACAGAAAATGTAGGTACGTCCTATTGTTTTCTTTTATTTTTTCATTGACAAACACAAAGAAGAGTTGCTTACATCCTCTGCATTTGGAACTTGTATATTTGTCCTATTGGCAATCATTCCACATCTCCTTGTCTTATATTGTTTAGTCATTTGTCTTCAAAACAATCTTTTCAAACAAACCATGTTACATGCCTATATGATGTCCGAGTCAATATAATGTCTCTGTGTTTATCAGATCCTCCCTTGGTTTGTCAATTTACTATCAAAAGTACCCTCAAAAACAAATCAAAACGTTCTTTAACTGCTTCACTATATCGTCGGTATGAAAGTGGTTCATTAATAGGTCGTGTAAAATTTTTTTTTTTTAATTAATAAAATACGAAACAGATCGTATGGCATACATATTACTCTTTTACAAACAGTTTGTTTCAGAAATCTTATCTGATCTGATACCGATATCATAATTATAGTAGTCTTAGATCTGATTAAAAAATGTAAGAGGGAAAAAGCAAAATGAAAAATTATTGAATTTACTCACATTTATTCAATAAAATTATGGACCACTACATTTTTTTTCTCGTTTAAAATCTACAGTTAATCAATCGTGCAATATAAATTAAAAGTAGAAATCAATCAACTCTGAATTTTGGCTGACATTAGATAAATGTTATTCTATTTAGGGCCGTCCGGGTTTTTGTTTCTGTCTTCATCATTAAGTTTCTGTGTGGTGTTTCCTGAACTGTCGACTGTGATTTCTTCTTTTTCATTTTTAGCTCATCTTTCCCATAGAGCCAAGTGATCTTTTCTCATCACTTGGAGTCCGTCGTCGTTAACTTCTCAAAAATCTTCTCCTCTGAAACTACTGGGCTAAATTTAACAAAATTTGGCCACAATCATCGGTGTACGATGACCCCACCTGCCAACCAACATGGCCAACATGGATAAAAATAGAACATAGGGGTAAAATGCAAGTTATTTTATCTTGAAAACCGCCATAAATAGAGAAAACCAGAGGAGACAGAACTGTTCAAAATAATGAGATATACCTATTGCAATTTTCACCAAAACTATCAGACGAATTCTTATAGGAGTTATTGCCCCTTAAAAGAGGATTTTTCACTAATTTTGTTTTAATGTTTGCTTATTATCCTGAAAATTAACATATAGAGAGACACTTTCACTAGCAAAAATGATCAGCAAGACAAGACGAACAAATAAGTCAAATCGTCAAAATCGTCGGACGACTCCTTATGGGCGTTTTTGGCTAATATCCGAAAAAACTATAATAGATAGATAGAAACTTTAAAAAAAATGAACAAGAATATACGATCGACAAATAAGTATCGTTGTTGAAATCATCTGATGACCCCATATTGGAGTTATTGCCCTTTAATGGCAATTTTTACCAACGTTTTGCTTTTTTGCCTAAAAACTAAAAACTTTAATAGATAGATAGATAGAAACTAAAATGAGCACACATATTAAGCAAGACAGGATCTACAAATAAGTCTACTGGTCAAAATCATCAATTTACTTCTTATTGAAGTTTTTGCTCTGTAAAGACGAATTTACCCGTTTTGAGTGATCTGCCTCTTATCTTGAAAAATATCATAGATAGATAGCCACTTTGAATGATAAAAATGATCAACAAGATAAGATCTACAAATAAGTCAAAATAGCTGAAATCGTCAGTCCACTCCTTATTGCACTTCTCTCTCGTTAATGACGATATTTACCATTTGTTTTTACATTTTTGCCTATTATCTTGAAAACTATAAAAAGATAGATTGACATTCTAAATAGCTAAAAAGATCAGCAAGACCAGGTCTGCAAGTAAATCAAATTTTCCCGAAATCCTTAGATCTTTAACAGAAGTGATTGCCCTTAAAGACAATTGTTTTATTCTAATTGTGTTTTGGGCAAAAACTAAAGAAGATGGGAGAAACTGTAAACAGAAAAAAAAGACCAGTAATACAAGATCAACAAAAAAGTGATTTTTGAAATGAAACCCATTCTAGTCCACAATGTTTGAGAGAAACCATTGTTGAAGATGCAAATAGACCTAGGTGAGCGACACAGGCTCTTAAGCGCCTCTAGTTCTTTCAGTCATCGTGTTGTCTGTCCAACTTTTGACTTTGAAAGCCTATGGATATATTCTCACTTTTTACGTTGTTGTCACATAGTTGATGAAAGTGCAATTGGAAACCAGCCATCTCGTGGAGAAATTGACATACAATATCCCTGTCTTCTGACGTTTAATAGCACCATTACAGGACGGTATAGAATAAGGTCTGTATCTAGCTCCAAAGACAAACTGAATGTGACCTACAACTAATACAAGACATCAGCTGATGTAAGTAGCATATAAAATCGAGAGGACAATAAATCAAAAGAAACTTCAGAAAGCAAAATACGATTGTAGGTAACATGACACGAGTATGTGATAAACATTTTCATTCTCTGACAATATTGACATAATTATATGCCTACTTGCAGAAATTGAACATTCATGCTTTTCATTATAAAAACAGAAAAAAGTCGGTTGCAATAAAGACGCGTATGTTACGGTTTGAAGATACCAATCACACTGATTTAAAGGAAAGTAAATATACAAAATAATGAACTAAGTCCAGGTAAAAAGCTGAAGTGTCGAGGTTAAACGAACTCCATGACACTAGGTACTGACGTTGCATTGGCAGACCTTGCTTCATATGTCTGTTGAGTTTGCTCCTGAAATTTACTTATCCCTCACATCTTTTTTTGTTCACATCTCAAATAATAACCCTTGTGCTGACCAGAGGTAGAGTAATATAAAATTGAGAATGGAAACGGGGAATATGTCAAACAGACAACAACCCGACCAAAGAGCAGATAACAGCCGAAGACCACCAATGGGTCTTCAACGCAGCGAAAAAATCCCGCACCCGGAGGTGGTCCTCAGCTGGCCCCTAAATAAAATTGTGTACTGGTTCCGTGAAAATGGACGTCACACTAAACGCCAAAACATATAAAGGAACTAAAATAAAAAAAAAAACTAACAAAGGCCAGATGCTCCTGACTTGGGACAGGCGCAAAAATGCGGCGGGGTTAAACATGTTTTGTGAGATCTCAACCCTCCCCCTATACCTCTAGCCAATGTAGAATAAAGAAACACATAGCAATACACACAGTAAAACTCACAATTTAAAAGAAGTCCGAGTCCGATGTCAGAATAGGTAACAAAAGAAACTATATATAAGCAAAATGACAATGATACATAAATTAACAAAGGACTACTAGCATATACTGACATGCCAGCTCCAGACCTCAATTAAACTGATTGAAAGATTATGTCTTCATCATATGAAAATCAGGTACAATCCCTCCCGTTGGGGGTTTAGTATCATACCATCATAAGATATGTCAAAAGTTTGCGAAAGAACACACAACCACCTAAGATAATAATAACGTCTACAATCATTTCTGAAACACACATGATACAAACTACATTTCTAGATATCTTTTAGATTCACCTTGTCGGTTCATTCAACTTTGACCATGATTTAACCTTTGACATCCATTATCAAGATCCATATAAACCCGAGGTTCTGATTGAAAATGGAGATCCGACTAAAGGTATCTACTGTTATAATATTACTTAAAGAAGACTTAATTGACTAGGTCATATTCAGAGAAACCTCAAATACTAATACTAGTAAACAGAATTATATTTTCTTTTGCATTCATATGAACTTTTAAAATTTTATTATTTTTCTTTTGCATAACGCTTTATGATTCCAAAAAAATAAAGTCTGTTTAAGCTTAAAAGAACTAGAAATATTGAATTTGCCAATTTCTTTTTTTCCATTATGATACATATGTTTTTTTTCGGACAGCGGTATTATATACCATAAAAACTGTTTTAAGAGACCACTTAAGTGGTCTTACAAGACAGGTGGTCTTTTAATACATGTTCAATCTATATTAAATCCAATACATAAGGACATAAAATTAATGGTCTTATAACAGAGGTTTTTGTTTGATACAGGTGATTTCTAAAGCAGGTTTGACTGTTTATGTTTTCGTTAGCTATAAAAAAGGAGTTTACGTATGTCTATTTTATTTGTATTGTAGATGGCATGCTGAAGGAAGATTTATTAATGGTCAATTTCCTGCCACAGTTTCCAAGTGACGGGTCATTCTTTTCCAGTAAACGAGAGTTTATATTTGTAATAGATCGATCGGGTACGTGACTTCATAATTGTCATACTGCAAATCTTTTTTTCTAATAATATCTTAAACTAGCATGAGACTTAAGACCAGTAAGAACATCTCGCGCTAACATTTCAGATATGTAATGTTATCATATGACAATGGTAATCTTCATCTAAACAAATCTGTTACACCCTACGGACTAAGGGACCTGTGCATAACAAATGTATATTGTTATTGTATCCTCTGGCATCCAAACCTATTTTGAAATTATATTTAGAAAAAAAAAACGTTATGTCGACAGTTGTTATAGAGAGAGAGTTCAGATAATGGTAGATATTTCGTATTCTTTGTTACATTTATCGTTTTATGTTTATTATTTAAGCCTCAGGTAAGACAAAAGGTGAAAAGGGTAAAGGTTCCTTTTATCTTAGTTAAAAACCGTATGTTGAACACCAAATGTCTATACGTTGCCGTCTCAAGGCCACATATCAAACTTCATTGAAAAATTACATAACATGTAAAGCTAATTCGTTTTTTGCCATTGCATTGTCAGTTTATTTTCGACTTGTGAGTATCCCTTTGGTTTCTTTCGTCTCCCTTACAACAATGTCAGTCCGAGATGCAATGATCCCTCCTTTCAAAAGAACATTGACAAATAAGGACGTACTGGTTAAACTGTAATTTACACAAATAACTGCTTATTTAAATATACAAATATCCGAACATTATGGTATTTACAATCATTATAACTTTGTAGTTATGTGAGATAGATTTAAATAAATTTTGTAGTAACAAAGATAACATATGAAATGACATAACTTGAAGAAAAAAATAAATACAAAATAAAAAATGAACATCAAAGGAATAAATAAAAGATTTTTTATATTTTGCAATATTTACTTATGCAAAGATATTTTTGAAAGGAATATTCATGTTCAAATGTAGTGTACTAATACACAAAATAATGATCATAAAGAAGAAGCGAAAGATACTAAAGGGATATTCAAATTCATAAGTCGAAAACATATATTCGGTCAATCAGTTTGTGATGGCGTCCGTAAACTTTTCGAAAGGATGATTTCAACTCGCCACTTAGAACTGATGGTAAAATAGCTTCCTTGTAAGCAGCAAGTCTCTATCATGGAAATGATGATAAGAAATTCAAGCTCTGAAATATCGTATCAACTGGGAGATACACTCCATTTGCAGGCGCTGCTGGAATGTTGCTGCATAGAAATGGAAAGTTTTCCCCCCAGTTTTTGGTGGGGTTCGTATTGATCAGTCTTTAGTTTTCTATACTGCTGTTTGTCTTTTGGTCTATTTCCTTTTTTGCCATGGCGTTGTCAGTTCATTTTCGACTTATGAGTTTGAATGTCCCTTTGGTATCTTTCGCCTCCCTTTTACCAACCAGGAAGCTGAAATCATCTCTTTTGTCGTAAAGTTTTGTTCTCAACCGACAATCATTGTAAATTTCTAGATGTAGTCTAGGATATGAGACAGGCTTAACTGTATTTATTGTATTCTTTACTTCATGTTCGATGTAATAGATGCGTCCAACATAATCACCAAACTTTGAAATATTTAGTGAGAGAGCATCATCTATATAGCGGAAAGTGAAGTTAAAGGATAATGCTCGCTTCATTCTTTCGACGAAGCTCCTGTATGAAGTCAGCCTTATATGAATAAAGGAATAAGTCGGCAAGAAGAGGACCACAGTTGATTCCCATGGGAGTGCAGATTGTTTGTTGAAAACTACATCCTCCAAACATAGCAAATATTTAGTCAATCAAGAAATCAAGCAACTTCATAATGTCAGTTGCAGATGATTTTTTGTTTAAATCAGAGTGATTTTTAACAAATTGTCAGTAACAAATTCCTTTATCAAGCAGTTTATGTAATGTGATTTACACACAAAAAGAATGTTTTTAGGGCTTTATCTGCGGGAAAAACAACATATTTTGGATGGAGGTAGGACAGTTGCTGAGCAACATCTGGGATCGATTTAAAGATTAATGTAGCATGTGTATTCATACAACAGAACACACAGCCTAAACCAATTCGGAAGGAGTATCTTTTTCGCATTTAGCCCATTGCTTGGCATAATCTTCGACTAATTCCGTCAGTATTCTGAAGTTGCGTTTCCAATTGATGGTTTTAGGCTCATGATATTTCGGGCCTTTAGATAACACATTTCGCAGGGAAATTGACAATGTTCAGATCACCAATAATAAGGCGGACAGCCGGATTACATATGAATGGGGAACTAGCACAGGTGTAGGAAGAAGTTTTAGACTTAAAGTCGTTAATGATAAGATAATGAGATCCTGGAACACATGTTTGTAATTGAACATTTTAGTTGCAATTGTTTTTGGTATAGGTATGCGAAATCATAGGTAAAGACTGACCTTTAACAAGGAAACAACGAAAATCAGCAATATCACCCCAATCATCATAAGTGAATTCATTAACAAGAATGTGTACACATTATTTTAGGTAGTATGCATGGTGACAGAATAACAAAATCCAAAGAAACACTACTACTGTTATTGAAAAGCTTACCAATGGATTGTCTCTTTAATGTCGTTTCATTTGGAAGTCACCACACTTTCTTATTTAAAAAGTTAGTATGTACATAAAATGAGATAGTTCCGTCATAATATAAGTTCCAAGTGGGAATATTCTGTAACATTATTTCCACTGGAACAAATATAACAGTATTGGTTCCTTACTGAAAAAAGGGTATAGCATATTTGTCCCAACAGGAACAGATATTATGGCATTGTTTATAACAGGTGGAAAAATATACGTTAACAAACCAGTTCCATGAACATGCTTTTTTTATTTCGATTAGCAAAATGGCTTTTAAAAAGAAAGAAGAAAAGGCATATATAGTCAAAATCAGTCCAGATAAAGCGTTTACTTTTATAAAGCATCTTATGTTATTTTATAGCCTGTTCATGCAAAGGGATTAGTGTTGAAAATCCAAACATGAAACTTTAACTGTTTTGATTCTAATACATCCATAATTATGGATTTCAAATATTCGGCTGTGAGGGTTCATGATAAAGGTAGACCCAGAAAAGCTCTTCGGACGCATGAAATCTATTAAGTGTTGTATCATTTTATGGAAACCTCTCTGGTGTAAAATATTCTCTATTATTTTTACTGATGATATATTGCTGTCAGTGTTAAAAACTTGAAAATGTTTAATGACCTCTCGTTTTATCATTTAAAAACAATTGGTTTTGTACAGGAGTGAAGAGTATAATGAGAAAACTCTTAAGGATGCGTTGGTTCTCCAAAAGCATTTAGATGCAAATATGGGTGGAACAGAAATTTTACGTCCACTAACGCAGATATATCAACAAATGGCTAAAAGCGCATACCGAAGACAGGTATTTATATGAAAAATCGGTACTGACATTCTGTCTCTAAAATTCTCACTCCGAATATGAAATATCTAAGTTCCATTTTGACATTTATCGGTTCCTGGTTGACATTTCACACTCCCAAGCTGACATTTATCATTTCCAAATTAACATTTTCTCCGTTTCAAGTTGAAATTATTCAACTCGTAGTTGATTTTTCTGGATCCAAACATTACATTTCTGCCCTAAAAAGAAATGTCTAGTTGGAACTAAAGCGTAAAGTCGGAAGTGAGAAATGTTAAGTTTGTAGTGCGAAATATCAAGCTGGAAATGGAAAATCTTTTCTGTTGTTTATTTATGATACAGAACGGGTGTTGAACTCTATAACTGTTTTGAAAGGTTAATTTGATTTTCTTTATTTTTGAATTTAAAGGATTATTCAACCAAATGATCAATAAAATACTATTTTAAGGGGTTAGAGTAATTTTCTTAGAGACTGTGTATTGTCTCTGCATATTCTGTGGTAAATAGTATCGATAAGTCCACTAGTGTACGCAAAATCGTTTATTCTAGCTGATCTGATTATCTGAAATATTTCTCTATTTACGCCGCTCTACACCACCTGGATTTTGAAAAGAACATTATTCTGCATTAATATATTTCAGATATTTCTTTTGACAGACGGCGAGGTAGGAAATACAAATGAAGTTATATCTCTAGTCAAGCAGAATGCCACAAATACTAGGTAAAAGCACGGTAACTTAAAACAACAATTTTTATTCTTCAGTATTAAGAATTTTGCGAAAATCAGATAATGCTTAATATGTTAACTTTGAACTAAGGGCAAGCCAAATCGATTCCTCGATTGTCAGATTACCCATGTGTTGAATAAGGTCGGCACTAAATAAGATTGTTTTCTTAAAACCTGTGTCCATTACGGTCCGCCAGTCGTGCGTTGAAAGTAATATTATTTTGAAAACGTGGATTTCGACACAAAACAGATCTTTGAAATTTGTGCTCACGAGTCGAATATCTATCGTCTAAGCTAAAATATATAGTTTACTGCAAACCACACCTAATGAGTTTGACAAAGACATTTCACCTACGATGCAGGATGGTAATTGCGTTCGTCCTACATACAAATCAAGGTTACAGTAAAAAAAACCGGAGAGAATCGCAAGAACACCAATAGAAGCGATACCGGAGGTGTCGACCGGATAAGCGTCTCCTGCCATGAATACATCACCCGCGACGCGAATCCATACTTAGTCAAACTATCACAATCGGTAAAATTACAGATCAGACGACTCATCTTGTATTTAAAGATCTAAGACCGAAAAACACGTCGTTCTTCCTCATAACTCTTTTGGAGCATTATTAGAACATTTAAATTATTATTGGCATGCATTGAAAACCTAACTTTAAATAAATGGAATACAATGCTTGAATTACAAATATTCCATGTTTATTATTTTTTATTTTTGGACGAATTCCAAATCACAGCAGACCGCGATAGCCAGAGGGGACAACGAAATAAATTGTTACGCAAACATTAATTTGAAAAAAATTCCCGTTCGCGCATTATACAATTTGTACGAATAAAGCATTAGATTGTTTGAATATGTATTTGAATGTAGGCAAACAGCTGTTTGAATATGTATTTGAGTGTAGGCAAACAGCTGATTGTAGAATACACAAAGAAATCGTTTTTCTTTATCGAATAAATATCACGTGTACCCTAAGAGAGGCGAAAGATGCCGATGTAATATTCAAACTCCTCAGTCGAAGGAAAAATGACAACGCCATGGCAAAAAGCGAAAAACGATGAAAAGACAAACACCAGTTTACATAATATAATGCATAAAACTCAAGATATTTGAAATTGAATTTACGTGAATGTATATATATAATTAATATAACAAATTGAAAAATCCTTTAATCTTACAATTCCGAAGGTTAAACATCTGAGACGTGTATTCAATTAAAAAATGAAGCACGTATTATTACATTTCTTCTTATATTTTATTTTTAGAGTGTTTACATTTGGAATAGGCGAAGGTGTGTCAACAAGCCTTATCAAAGGCATGGCCAATGCATCCAATGGGAAAGCGACATTCATTAGAGACAAAGACAATATGCATGCAAAGGTTTTTTTCTTCGAGCTTCTTTTTAAAAGTGGAGGGGCAAGTTTGGCCTATAAAATATTGAAATAAGGATTTAATGAAATAAATAATAGAAAAAAATAAAAAAAATAAATAATGAAACTGAAGAAAACATTGTACACTTTTATTTTTCTTCACAGAGTTTTAAATTCTGTATCAAAATCAACATTGACATAACTAAAATGAATCATGAATGAAATGCATTGTGATAATAAATTAAACACACACATAAGTATATAACACTTTATCGAATTACTGATATGTTAATTTAATAATATCTAATATAAATACTTACTTGAACCAAAATAATACACCTGCACCGTATAACCTCTTTTGGAATGCATGTTAGGGTATAAAGCAAACCATTGCCAGATATCATTATTAATTCAATTTTGTAAACACCAGACGAAAGACAAAGAAACAAATGTGAATATTAGTCTTGATGACAAAAATGACTGTGACATCATAAGCGAGATTGTCAGAATTTAGGCAAATATAGGCTACTTGTAAGAACATTTTGGCTAAATTAACATTAAGCAAAAACATTGTCCAAAACGACTTTAGTTTACCAATGTTGAAATCCCATAAGAGACAAGGTAACAAACAGAAACTGAGGGGCTCGCATGAACTACAAAAGGAGCGCGACTAGTGCGTCGACAGGGCAAGCGTCTCTTGTTATGCATGCACAACAAATTGCCAATGAATAGATTAACACTTAAACCATTGTCGTGACGTCAGCCTTTACATTTACCGTGGATTCTTTTTCTAGAATCAACGCTTTCTAACTCTGTCGCTGAAATGGATTCACCAAATTATATTCAATTGTTTCTTTTGTGTGCCTAATTTCATTAAATTTCATTAAGTTTGAATTAGCTAATTTACTGATTTCTGTTCACTAATGGAATTAATTTAAAAACTTACCTTTAATTTTTGCAATTTTTATATGCCTTCACTGGGAATCGAACCCGTCTTTGAAATCTGTTATGTGTGACTGACATCAACATATCGACGAAACCTCTCGGCTACCAATTGGTTACAATTTAAATGTCTATTTTATATATATCAATGAACATATGATATACATCGGTACAACGGACACACAGGGCTTGTACCTTTATATATACATAATAGGCAATCGTATAGTATAAGTTGGTAGCCGCGAGGTTAGCATGGTTAAGATCAATGAGTTAAAGAGTTAAGTTAAAGGTAGGGACTTGTCGGTTTAGGTTCGAATCCCTGTATTCTCTTTGTTGTCCCTATTCTTTAGTTTTTCTGTTTTTTTCTTATTTTGTATGTAATTGTGGATATTTTTGTAATAATAGCGAGTTGTACCGGTTTTTTTTTTATTATTGGCTATTTCACATAGTTGAAACGAAAATGATTACATTCAATTTGTCCATTTTTGTTTTATAAATATAGTAAGATTTCATCTGTTTTACTACATAATTTTACAAATGTTTATTCGCAAGTTCCTATGCGAGTAAATCGTGATGTGCCTAGAATTAGGCTTCTTGCTAGAAATTTCGGTAACATACTTATTATATATACTTTATATATGCTCTTTTGTCAGGTTGTTGTCTCTTTGACACATTCCCCATTTCCATTCTCAATTTTATTAGAAATAAGTTCGAATATGTCTTACTTTGTAAACACAGATAATATTCATATGCCTGATAATTTAAAGGCAGACGTGTTGTGTTATATTTGTATTTTTCTAACCAATTAGTTGTGATCTTATATTTAGTAATGCATCGTTGAACATGATACCATGGTTATTTAAACTCACTTACAATACCTTCTAATTAAGAAAAGGCTTTAATTTTGAAAAATCATTAACACAATAGTTTAAGTTATAGATACAATGAATAAGCGTTGATTCATGAAAAACAAACCATTCGCCCTCCGGGCTCATGGTTTCTTTTTCAAGAATCAACGCTTATTCATTGTATCTATATTACAGAATGTACTCACTGTTTAAATATCTTTTAATTTGGCGACGGTTGTGCTGTGTATTATTATGTTCAAGTCAAATTGTCAAGACATTGCGTAATTTCTCTATTTTACTGAATTTTGCAGCATATCACACATCCCAGGATGTTGGTTGAAAGCTGTACTATATGACATTTGTAATCCCCATATACAAATACCTATGAAACACTATATAATTCTGTAATTTTCTGAATGTATATAATTTTTCTGAATTTTCATAGATATGTAATGTCTTACATTACATAACTTCTCTGTTATAATTTCTGTGCGGAACGAATATCATAAGTAATGAAATCATATTTAATTGTTGTTTCTTTTATTAACCCAGAAGTATTTGCTTGATGCCTTTTCTTTTAATAAGGTCATGTCAGTTATGAAATGGTCAATGGAGGATTGTTTTTGTAATGGTAAAGTTGAGTGGCACTTACCACCTGATTACAAAGTAACCACTTTACCAATACAGCCACCACACGTCTTCAGAGGAGAGAAATTAGTATTATTTGCGATGCTGAGCTTTCACGACAAAGAAGTAAACATTCGATTTTTTACCTTTCCCTCCCTTTTGTTCAGAATTTTTCTTCATATGACTACGTTAACTCTGCCAACCCGAGATTATAGAAAATCATGTATTTTGTTCCAATTACATCATTGTAATATAATATTCTATGTTACTGGAAAGCATAAATGTGACATTGCACCCGACTTCACTGGGGTTACAATCCAAGCCAAGTTTCAGATGTCGTGTCCCGCATTTGAAAATTAATCAGTTTTTGCATTATTTAATTTGATTCGATATGTAAAGGTTATAATTTTGTAAAAAATACAGAATTGTATGATATCAAAATCCTTTATTTGCACATTGATAGTGGTAAAGCAAACTGCTTCATTATAGACGTACACTTTTAAAATGAAGATATAGGTGTTTAATCCGATGATTTCGAACGATATTCATGTTTTAAAACAATTGACAATTAATATAATACACACCAAACTAAACGAAAAACCATTCCTGTAGCATATTTGTGGGACATATATGTAAAGTATAAGTTAATGTTGTTGCAGAGAACAACATTAGGTTCTGTAAATTTAAGAGGAGATCTTGGAGGAAAAACTATTACTCACAGTATGGAAATAGATGTCAAACAAACGGCACATATTGATCTTCCGCTACATCGGATTGCCGCTAAATATCAGATAAAAGAATTAGAATTAAATGATAACGGTAAGGATTTTCAATTTCCAATTACACTTGTTCTTATACCGCTATTACTGAAAACCCTTATACTTATCATTTATCGTACAGGACTGTGGCATACCATACAAATAATTTATACACGGAAAACATGAATATGTAATACCCTACAACCATGTCAATCTATGATCATTATCTTTCACAAAGTGCGCCAATATAATGAAATTCACATTTGATGTTCATCTTTAGACAATAAATAACTTTTCTTATATATTTTGACTTCTTTTCAACTGTAAAACGAGGCATTTTACAAAAATGACAAATTCACAAGTCAAAGAGAAACCGACATCAAAATAGTAAAAATAAAAAAGAGAAAAACGACGAAAAGACAAACAACTGTCTACATAGGACATCAAAGACTTAGTAACACAAACTCGACATATAACCGAGGGTGATCCCAGGTGCTCCAAACGGGTAAACAAAAAGTCAAAACTGTATATAATCTTAGCGTAAAGTGTTCTTAAATTGTAAAAATGCAGCCTGTAAAACAACTAAGAACAATGTTCTGCGATGATAAATTGATTTATCGCTATTTTACGAAATTTTCCTTTGATCTTACTGACTGATAATTTCCTTTCTCAGCACAGTAGAGTGATATGAAACTAAGGGCACGCGTGCCGTTGTCAATGAATTTAAATTAACAACGTCGTCATAGGTAAAATAGCGATAAGCAGATTATCATTGGTCATCTCATCGTACCGGTTCAAGCGAGAAAATCAATCTCGTTAAGATGACCAACTATAATCTATAATTCAAGGTGATGCCCTAGTCCTATTACATTTTACAATACTTTATTTTTTCAAAATACCTTTTATCTGCAGTCGATAGCAAATTGAAAATTAGAGTATGTGTTTCCAATTCTGACTATGACCGATTTATGAATGAACGATACAATGCATGTAAAATCCTCCACTTTTGTTTAATGACAAATTTATGACAAATGCGGCATATTTTATGTAGATGGTTCCAATAAGTGGCTCATTGTATTAGCAAGCAAAGCTGCTAATGTTGTATCTAAGTATACATCATTCATCGGCGTGGACAGGGAAACTAGAGTTCCATTAGAATTAGTGAGTACCACAAATTTAAAAAAATCTAAACAGGAAAATTGATTTATTTGCTAATTACATATGAAGTTGTCAATCACTCTGAATGTTATCATAATCATGGTCATAATTTAGAATATTTAAAGTAACTTATAAATGTATGGTGCTTTAATTAAAAAAAAAATCTTTACCGTTTTGTTAAGCAAGAAAAAACAACATAAGGATATAATAAATCAAATTGACAGAAATTGACAATTAGCTTAACCTTTTTAGTAACATTTCACATAGCAAACTTTAAAATCCAGAAAACACGATCTTTTATCCCAGATAAACCGAGAAAAATGCAAACGGTTATATTTTGAGATGCATTTATAAAAAGATTCTTTCACGTGAATTGCAACATGACGGCAACCAAGAATTATGAATTTATCTGTAGGTTACTTTTTTTCATTTTTTGCGCTGCTATTTTATCTATATATATACCAGACATCTGATTCTATTTATTTTTCTTACTCAATTTCACTTTCAGCATTTGATATTTTACCTTTCCAGCCACCTGAACCAATGATTGAACCTCATTTTTACAATATGTACATACCTTCGTATGCTACAGGGGGAGCACCTCCACTTCCAATGTCACGACCTTTTCCACCAACTGCCTTCGCTTCTCCACCACCAGGCGGTTATCTACCGACGTATGGTTCAGGACCACCGCCACCACCTCCACCACCTAGCGGATATCTTCCAGCGTATGGTTCAGGACCACCACCACCACCTCCACCAGGCGGAGTTTTTCCGAAGTTCGGTTCAGGACCACCACCACCACCTCCACCATCGTCAGCAACTCCTCCAACAAACAGAACAGCTGTGCCTCCTCTCCCTCGAAAGCTTACTACCCGGTCAGGAACTACAGGCAGTGATTCACAATTACCGCCTGCACCGCCTCCATCAATAACACCTCCTGGAGCGAGTATGCCGCCATTTAGATCAAGACCACCACCACCTGCTCCACCAACAAGGTATATTATGATACAAACAATGTTTTAAGTTAAAAAGTAAAATGAAGCTCAAGTATATGGTTGACTAAATTTTTTTTCAAAGGAAATATTGCTATCCATATTTGTAAAAAAAATAGTTTTTATTATATCCAACATTATTTTTTTTATGAAATGTAGCTCAGATGGAGTCAACATATCTAGCGAAATGGACGATATGATGTTACTGGTTTCATTACAAAATTTCAATGGATCCTGGTCGTCCTCCCTGGAGATTGGGAACATAACTTTGCTGAAAATCAATTTACTTGACAACGACCGATATGCGGTAAATTTTTTATGAAATAAGATTCTTTCAAATGTGGGTTCATTTTAGATATATATATATATATATAAATCAACTGGGAGAAAAATGAAACTGTATGTTATTTAATAACTGAACCTCATCTGTCTTCACCTATATTCATTGTACAATTCTCTACAATTTGTTTATTGTAACGAATTTTCTACAATTTGTATAATGTAACGAATTCTCTACAATTTGAATAATCTTTAAAATTCGTATTGAAACAATATAAATTTCGTTTTTAGCTCACCGGGCCCGAAGGGCCCCATGTTAGCTTATGCCATCACTTGGCGTCCGTCGTCGTCCGTCGTCCGTCGTCGTCGTCCGTCGTCCGTCGTCGTCGTCCGTCGTCCGTCGTCTGTCGTCGTCGTCGTCCGTCGTCGTCGTCTGTCGTCGTAAACTATTTTAAGAATCGTCTCCTCTGAAAACTACTGAGCCAAATACCTTCAAACTTAAACTAAATGTTCCTTATGGTATTTAGTTTATAGATTATATCCAAAGTTTTGATCCATTGACAAACATATCCGCCATGGCTAAAAATAGAACACAGGGGTCAAATGCAGTTTTTTGCTTATATTTCAAAAACTAAAGCATTTAGAGCAAATCTGACAAGGGATAAAACTGTTCATTAGGTCAATATCTATCAGCCCTGAAATTTTCAGACAAACCGAACAACCCATCGTTGGGTTGCTGCCACTAAATGGTTATTTTAGGGAAATTTTGCAGTTTTTGGTTATTATCTTGAAGATAAAAGATAAACTATAAACAGCAAAAAATTTTCAGCAAAATAAGATCTACAAAAAAGTTAATATGACCAAAATGGTCAATTGACCCCTTAAGGAGTAATTGCCCTTTAATGACAATTTTTACACAATTTGTTCATCGTGTTTGCTAACATTTAAAAATTTTCTCCTCTGAAACTACTGGGCCTAATACTTCTAAACTTAACTGAATGTTCCTTAGGGTAACCGGTTTATAAATTGTATCGGAAGTTTGGATCCATTAACAAACATGGCCGCCATGGCTAAAAATAGAACATAGGGGTCAAATGCAGTTTTTGGCTTTTATCTCAAAAACTATAGCAGTAAGAGAAAAAGTGACAAGTAGTTAAAGTGATGAATAAGTCAAAATCTATCTGCTATGAAATTTTCAGACCAATTGGACCACCCAAAAATTTATTTTTATGAAATTTTACTGTTTTTAGTTATTATCTTTAATATTATAATAGATAGAGAGAAAGTGTAAATGACAAAAATGTTCAGCTAAGTAGGATCTAAAAATAAGTCAAATGATCAAAATAGTCAATTGACTCCTTAAGGAGTTATTGCCCTTGAAACGTTTATTTTTTTACATTTTTTTTTCGTGCAAGTCTCTTACTTTTTCAAAAATCTTCTTCTCTGAAACTGCTGGGCCAAATACTTCCAAACTTTAATTGAATGTTCCTTATGGTATCTAGTTTGTAATTTTTTTCCGAAGTTTTGATCCATCAACAAACATGGACCCATGGCTAAAGGAACATAGTGGATAACAGCAGTTTTTGGCTTATATCTCAAAAACTACAGCAGTTGGAGCAAAAGTGAAAGGGAGATAAAGAAATAAATGTGTCATGATCTATCTGTTTTGAAATTTTCAGACAAGTTCGACAACACATTGTTGGGTAACTGTTGGAAATAGTTTATTTTTATTAAATTTTACTGTTTCTTTTAATCTTATTTCTTTAATATTATAATAGATAGAGAGAAAGTATAAATGGCAATGAATGTTCAGCTAAGTAAGATCTACAAATAAGTCAACATGATCAAAATAGTCAATTGACCCCTTAAGGAGTTATTGCCCTTAAAACGTTTTTTTTACATTTTTTGTGAAAGTCTAATTACTTTTTCAAAAATTTTCTTCTCTGAAACTACTTGGCCAAATACTTAAAACCTTTATTGAATGTTCCTTAGAGTATCTAGTTTATAGATTGTATTCGCGGATGGATCCATTCAAAAACATGGCGGCAGTTTCTGAAATAGAACATAGGGGTCAAATGAAGTTTGTGGCTTTCATCTCAAAAACTAAAGCAGTAAGAGCAAAACTGACATAGGTGAAGATTGAAATTCATCGTTTTTTGCGAATTTTAGAATTGTAGAATTGACCGTTACCGATTTACTTGCCGGATTGCCCGTCTTCAGATTATCTTGGACTTACATGGAATTCTTGTCCGCAGAAGTTCGGACATTTCCACGGAAATATTTTAGTGTACGATCAAGAAGACTTTTCCACGGACTTAAATGGAATTCATTCAGTGTGTGGAGTATTCGGATATTTCCTGTACTAATTTCCTTGTAATGATATCATGTGAAGCTCATGAGCTTCCTTCTACATGTCCGATGACTATCACTAAATATGCTTTGAGCTTTGACTGGAAGGTCATGCAAGCTCATGTAACTATATGATTATATCAAATCAAAAACTATAAATTGGATCCTCAATGCTCTTCAACTTCGTTCTTTGTTTTGACTTTTTAACTTTTTTTATTCGAGCGTCACTAATGAGTCCTTTGTAGACGAAACGCGCGTCTTCCGTACGAAATTTTGATCTTGGTATATATGACGAGTTTATTGGACTACTGTAATTGTACTTAATTTGGCGGTGTAATTATATTCACGAATTTCGGGGTTGGTATATTATTGCGAAAATAAATACACGCGAATTTAAATAAACAAACTAGATTAATATCAACAGGTGATGAGTAGATGACTCAAGATTACCTAGAACCATATGACTTTTCTATTGTAGTTGTTATCGATTGATTTACAAACATGTGTGCATAGTAGACAATTTTTTTGAAAGCTTTTCTGTAATCTTTAATTTTGATAACAAACAAAATTGCAATTATAATTAGATTTTATGAAAATAAAACAAGCACAAATAAATACACACGACGATTATTTACTAGCGTGTAATGGTTTTAAAGTGGAAAATTGGAAGTCGACCTTAATGTCATTAACTTTTTTCCGGGCTTTCATCCCAGTCATGATTTGATCAGAGTACCATTCTGATTATTTACCCATTTACTTTTAATACAGTTTACCAGATGTCTATTTACGTATTTAATTTTAATACAGTTTACCCGACGGCTATTTACGCATTTACTTTTAATACAGTTTACCCGACGGCTATTTACGCATTTACTTTTAATGCAGTTTACCAGACGGCTATTTACGCATATACTTTAAATACAGTTTACCCGATGGCTATTTACGTATTTACTTTTAATACAGTTCATTTTGACACAATTGTAACTGTTAACAGATTTTTTATTTTATTTTCGGAAAAAAATCGCGAAAATAGTTACCCGCGAAAATTATTATTGTAGGACAAAATAAGCACTTTTACAATTAATGTGCACACACATATGATGTATATGAGTTGAACTTGTTTATTTGATACATTGCCAGAATATGTATCCTTCTACATAAAAAAAGCCACTACTTTATATAAATCAAATGACATGGTGACACATGTTTGGCAGGTTTAGAAATGCATATCTGATCTTCTCAAAATCCATTCTTATCACCAACAATATAGATACTTGATTATGATATATCTATAAAAAGTAAAATAAGAAAATACCGAACTCCAAGGAAATTTCAAAACGGAAAGTCCCTTAACAAATGGTAAAATGAAAAGCTCAAACACATCAAACGAATAGAAAACAACTGCCATATTCCTGGCTTGGTACAGACATTTTCTTATGTAGAAAATGGTGGATTAAACCGGGTTTCATAGCTAACCAAACCTCTCACTTGTATGTCAGTCGCATAAAACAAATCGACGCAAAGACAAATAACAGTACATAGAAAACTAAAGACTGAGAGCAACACGAACCCCACCAAAACCGGGGGTATATCATGTGCTCCGATAGGGTAAGCAGATCCTGCTCCACATCTGGTATCCGTCGTGTTGCTCATGAAAGTACAAACCCAGTGGTAATTATAATTCGGTTGGTCACATTCGCGGAAAAGATGACGGGATTGTTGTAACAACAGATGAAACATATATTCGATAACGATCAACCAACTCGTGAAGGCGTCCGTAAATTTCCAATAGGGATGATTTCAACTTCACCACATGGAACTCTTAGTTCAATAGCTTCCTTTAAAGCAGCAACCCTCTATCAAGAAAACCATGATATGAAATGCAAGCTCAGGAATATCGTATCAACTGGGAGAAGTATACTCTATATGCAGGTGCTGCTGGAATATTGCTACATAGAAATGGAAAGTTCACCATTGGTAAGCTGAAATCCTCTCTCTTGTCGTAAAATTTTGTTTTCAACCGACCCTCATTGTCAATTTATAGATGTATGTCAAGATATGAGGCAGCCTTAACTGTATCCTGTAGTCACCAAACTTTAAATTATTTAGTGAGAGGACATCATCTATATATGGGGAAAAAAGTTCAAGGATATTGCTAGCTTCTTTTCATTCTTCCTAAAAAGCTCCTGTATGAAGTCAGCCTTATATGAATAGAAGAACAAGTCGGTAAGAAGAGGTGCACAACTGAATCCGACGGCAATGCCGATTGTTCGTTTAAAAACGCGTCCTCCAAACATAACAAATATGTTGTCAACCAAGAAATCAAGCATTTTGATAATGTCAGTTTCAGGTAATGTTTTGTTGGAATCAGAGTGAGTTTTTACAAAGTAAGATTTATCATTCCCTAAGACAAGATGCTTGTATCTACGTCAGCTATTTTTTTTAAACAAAGCAGGACTCATTATATCAAATGTTTGGAATGGGGAATACCTGTGTAAAGGGCAGAAAAGTCAAATGTTTAAATACTATTACAAGAGGAAAGATACTTAGATTGTATGTACTCTAACAGATCTTTCGAACTTTTAAGTATCTACTAGTATAGAATAAGGTATTCTGGTGTTTTGTTCTAATGTTAGCTTACTTCATTTTCATATAAGGCAAAACTGATCCCCATTTTAGTCTGTACCGGCAGTCTTTCGTGGCTGTCAAAACATTAATGACATAATAAATGACATTACATCTTTTATTCAGTAAAGACAGCCAAAATATGTTTTGAAATTATGCAATATGCAAAAAATCCTTGTACAATATATAAGTACCGCAGACATGTCCGAGTTCTTACTGAAAGTTCCACTGAAATGACATTGATTGTCGACGTTTTAATTTAAATTTCAGCTTATGCCATGGCATTGTCAGTTTGTGTTCGAATAACGATTTTTGATGACCCTTTGGTATCTTTCGCCTCTCTTTTACATGTCCGTGTATGTCCGGTTACAACCGAAAGATGCGCGGAAAAATTGATGGCTACTAGCGTGTTTGGATAAGAAATGCAAATTCCGCGGACGCACATGTAAATTCTTTTTTTTTTTAGTTTGCGGAAACACCGCAAATCTATAGACGGGTAATTCGCTCACTAAATTCACACAAAAGTTCAAACTTTGAATTTTTATTTCAGCAGTAGAAAATATACAAAATTAGTAAATACCTTGATGGTTGAATTTATTGAACGAGTCACCAGAGTTATAACAATTATTTGTTTACCCTTTTAAGCGCATTTAAAAGATCATTGTATATGTAGTCTTAGACAAGTTGATAGCTTTGTAATTTAAAATTGTAGGAAAATGTTTGGTGCACCGCTATTGTAATTAAGTTCTTACAAATGTTTTACCCAGACCTTCGAGATGTCTGGGAGATGATTCAGATGAAAGCACTGCAGTGGCTTAATTCGCAACTCAAAGAAGACCAAACAGTTGACGAACTCTTTCAAGATGTTGATGATGCTTGCATTGTTTAATATTGCAAGAAATGAGACAAGGGATTTATATGCTCATCATACAAGCACTGTATTATGAAAAAAAAATCCAATTTAAATGAGAGGATGTCTTTTATACGTTTTTAAATAGATTATTAGTCTCAAAATATTAAGCTTCATTTTAAATTAGATATACATATATTAACTGTGATTCAAATGTTTATTATTATATTATGAAATATGCTTTAAATGAAACTTCAAATTTCTTAAGACTGTTTTCGATTTATTAAATGCATTCCAATAAAGGACCAAGAAGATTTTCAAATTTCTATTGAATAAAGATTTTTGTTGGATTCTGTTAAACACTAAAAGACTATATAATATGATTAACAAATTTGAAAAAAAAAGTTTGAATGTATTAGAAGAAATGAATTCCGAAAACTGTAGTATATGTATTTGAATGATATTTTTGCAATAAAGTTTATTCGAAGGATAGGACTTCGAAATTTGTAGCGGTTTTTTTCTTCTGGATTTACCTTCATCAGGAGCGCTCAAACCAAAACTTCATCTTCAAGGGAATGCTTGAGGAGCATCACTCTCGTCTAATGTTTAAATGCAGGAAACACATTTGAAATCTCTCTTATGTGCCATTTGTTTTCATTAATTTGACTATAATTGGTAATTGACCACAACTTTATATAAGGAGAATATACCTCCCAGTGGACAGCTACTAAAAGTTTCCCAATGACAGTTAGTAAAACGAACACACTTATATTAAAGAGACTCAAGGGATCATTGCAACACAATCCGATGGGTATCGAATTGAAATATCTATATCTTTTTAAATTTGAACGTTATATAAGTAATAAGAATAAAGATGTATCAAGTATATCGTCATTCTCCTATGATAGTATATGTTTCAATCTTATATTCAATGAAAATAACACTTTATAATTCCATCCGTCTGAAGCGCTTTTCTGGATTCCCCTTCACCAGGAACGCTCAAAACCCAAACATTTGAATGGCAAGGCAAGGATGTATAACTACCTGAAACAATAATTAAGAATATTATGACCACAAGAGACATGGATAAATAGCCAAATTTAGCTAAGGTCAACTTTGCTTTAGGTAGTAAGCACCTTAGTTTCTTTAGTTATTTTTTAATTTATCAACTGTTATTCTATATTTGTATTTTATAAATGATGTATGTTCCGAAGCAATGACAACTTAGCTGATGATACACTCTTGGACTATACACTTGTACAATGACAATACAAGCCAACATTATTGAGAACAATTTAAACATAAAGATTCGTATGATATTTTACGAAGAAATCTACTGAAGGTAGAGCTTGAGATTTTAGTTTTTTGCCCCTGTAAGTTTATTAGATACTTACTTGCATTCTACCTTTCCGTTCAATTTCTAGCTATAAGGCTATGTTGAGTGGTTTGCGGCAAACACACACTTTTCAACGAAAAATATACCAGGGCTGTATTATGGCAAGTTTAGATGCAATTAGTAATTTTTCAGAGCGAAACATTTTTGAAGAAAATTTGACGACGGAACACTAAAAGGCTGCAATAGGTCACATGGCCTTTTGGCACAACGTGGAATTACTTAGCTAATTTGCGAGTTTTCCGGCAAAGTTGGATGTAGACGTATGTATATATTATTGTGTATTAAAGATCGTTTTGTTCCCAAACGTTTTAAGGTGTACAAGTACAAGCTTAACATTTTTCAAGAAACATACGCTGTATTTTCTTGGTTAAAGGAAAGGGTTGGGTTGTGTTAGGTGTAAGAAAATTTAATTACACCTATTGCTAGGAAGGTATATCTTTATTCTATTTTGTACTCAATTATATCATGCGTTTTGTCGGGCAGAATGTTACACAATTATTGTTTTTTATGAGGTAAATTGTGGTTTTATTGACCTTTGAACTGTTTTCTTCCATATTCCGAGCGAAAAAAAAAATGTACTTGATGACAAGTATTTAACAAATCCAATTGTACATCAAATATTGTGTCATGATAATACATATAAAAGAATGAACGTTTAGCGCGGTGTAAAGAAGTGAAATTTTCACTTCAGGGTTCTTTTAGTAAGGGGGACAATCAAAAAGATCTGTCAATTGGGCGTCAACCAAAACTAAATAAAAATTTGCATTTAATAATACCACAACCACAAGACAAACACAAAACACAAATATACACATATGAAACAACCTCTCCACGACCTCTCTTCTATCTCACAAAGACAATGACAAATACACGGAACTAAATACACATAACTAAAAGTTAAAATTAAAAGTAAATAAATAAATTAGTCCATCACAGTCCATAAATCACAAGTCTATATCAATCCAGAAATCTCAAAGGTTGTTCTCGTTTGATCCGAATTATAATACTGTTCAAATTTACTGTCTGTCAACTTGACAAATATTGAAAAACCAATACTTTGACAACATAACGTTAAATACTTCAGTATCTGAGACAAACTGTCAAACAAGTTTCTGCTATGTTTTAAATTGTAATTGTCCCGAAACAAATTCACTGACGGACTATTTAACCACACAGATATTCAGGTTGTTGTAATACTTAATACTTGAAAACTATCTGTTCCATTTAAACTATCAAATGTTAACCATACACACAGTATATATTTATCCTCATCTGAGATTCAACTTTATATATAGGAAATTGTCCCATTTTACTTATCACTCCTTTCTTTTAATGGTCTAAAATACTTCCATAACTCAACAAGTCCCCTGGGAAAGAAACAAAACACAATTTTAAATAACGGACCGATTTAATCCCGAATAAACGTAATAATTTGACAACCGTGCGCGCCATAATTACAATATGACAAACAAAATTTGATATCTCGTGCGAATATTTGAAACAGAAGACATAAGGGCGGGGCATGGTGTGTTTGTGTGACAAAACCTACCTGGGAGTTCTTTATTGTCCTGATGGACAAAATATTAATGAATTCTCCTGAACTGATCATTCCTGATATAATATCTGCCCTGACAATAGTCAAACTCCAACTCCAAGTTCCAGTCAGTTTTCAACATCTGACTTCAACACTGTCCAGGTGTTATACTGACAACACCTTATTTCAAGACTAGTGTTTCTAAATTAACCTGCCTAACCAGTTTCTCACCTTCACATTACCTGTTTGTCAAACTTGATTACTTTTGTTCTATTTATAAATCACTAAGATTTAAATCCAGGTAACACTCAAAGAAGGATAACTCAAAAACTTTACAATCCTCCCCACTAAGGAGACAAAATAACATTTTTGTCCAACCCAAACACTCTCTCATACCCGATACAAAATAACCTACCTGTCTACATCATTTAGACAGAATCTTATAACTGCCAAGAACAACATGCATAAACATATATACAACTATACACACCACCTGGAGTATTTCAGGGGACTTCTATTCCTCCAACCTGGACAACGCATCTGCCACAATGTTCAACTTACCAGGCACATACGAAATTCTAAATTTTAATTCCTGTAGGGTCAGACTCCAACGTAATAATCGCTGATTACTCATCTTCATTCTCTGAAGCCATTGTAATGGTGCATGATCTGTTTCAATATCAAATTCCTTACCTTCTAGATAAACCCATAAAGACTTCACAGCCCATACTATAGCATAGCATTCCTTCTCTATAACCGAATACCTACGCTCAGCATCTGAAAATTTCTTACTCATATAAAGAATCGGATGTCTGCCATCTTTAAACTCTTGTTCAAGTACACATCCAACGCCTGTGTTACAAGCATCAGTACATAAAATAAATGTAAGAGAAAAATCAGGCGCTCTCAACACTGGTTCTGATGCAATCATAGATTTCAACTTGTCAAAGCACTGCTGATGTTCACTGGTCCAATTTACCTTGTTTGGCAAGCCCTTCTTAGTGAGGTCTGTGATTGATGCAGAATACTTTGTTTGATATAAATTTCCTGTAGAAACCAATAAATCCAATAAAAGATCTTACCTGTTTCTTTGTCATTGGTGGTTTAAAATCCACAATAGCCTGAATCTTATCCTGTGTAGGCTGGATTTCACCCCCACCTACTATATGTCCAAGAAATTCTAACTTACTGAATCCAAAACAGCATTTTTTTGGTCTAGCTGCTACATTTGCTTTTCTAAGAGCAAGTAATACTAACCTTATATGTTTCAGATGATCTTCAAATGTATCACTATAAATTCCAATATCATCTATAAATGAATCAGCAAAGCCATCACAGTCTTTCAGGACCTTTCTCATCAGACGTACAAAAGACGCACTAGAATTTACCATACCAAAAGGCATTACTGTAAATTGATAGTGACCCATCGGTGTCACAAAAGCACTTTTCCTCTTGGCATCTTCATCTAGACTAAGTTGCCAATATCCCTTGGTTAGGTCTATCTTACTTAGAAATTTTGCCTTACCTATCTTATTTAGCACAGAATCTATCTGCGGCATCGGTGCTGGATCAAATTCCGTAATTTTATTAATTTCCCGGTAATCGCAACAAAACCGTATTGATGAATCTTTTTTTTTTCACCAATACCACTGGAGCTGCATACGGGCTATCCGAAATCTCAATAATGCCAAGTTTCAACATGTCATCAATTTCTTGTTGAACCTTCTCTCTAAGTGCATACGGAACAGGATATGGCTTCCTATACACAGGCTTATCTGTAATTAATTTTACCTTATGATGCACAAGATCTGTCCTCTTTGGTACATCAGTAAATATGTCTGAGAATTCCCAGATCAGTTCTGAGATTAACCTATGTTGCTCATCTGTTAAATCCTCTGAAATTCTGACGTCATTTACTGTTTCTTTACCTATCATCTGAGGAGTTACTTTATAGTCTACATCTATGTATTCATCTTCAAACTTATCTTCCACTACATCTATACATGCTAAAAATTCTACCTCATTTTTCAGTGCTTCAGGACGCTCATACCATGTTTTCAACATATTCACGTGATAAACTTTCTCTTTACCTCTTACCTTGACTTTATAATCTACTGGTCCTACCTTATCTGTAACAACGTAAGGCCCTTTCCACTGAGCCAAAAGTTTACTTTCACTAGTGGGAAGTAGAACTAATACCTTAGTACCAACCTCAATCTCTCTCGATCTTGCCTTCTTATCGTAATACCTCTTCTGTACCTGTTTTGCATTCATTTCATTCTGGTGTGCTAACTCAGATAACATTTTCAGTCTCTCTCGAGTTTCAATCAAATAGCTAAGTACAGACGATTGGCAATCCTCTGGTTCTTCCCATTGTTCTTTCAAGACAGACAGTGGTCTTCTTACATTTCGACCATACAATAACTCAAATGGCGAAAAACCTGTAGTATCATTTGGTACCTCCCTATAAGCAAATAATACATATACCAGGTACTTATCCCATGTCTTTGGTTCTAGTGAAGCATAGGCTTTCAACATACGTTTCAAAACACCATTGAATTTCTCACACATTCCATTCGTCTGAGGATGGTAAACACTGGATACCTTCTTTTCAACCGTTAAAAGTCTGCATACTTCCAACATAAGTGACGACTTAAAATTTGATCCTTGGTCCGAAAGTAACTCTTCAGGGAAACCTACTCTAGAAAATACTTCCATCAATGAGTCAACAACTGTCTCTGCATCTTGGCTTCTCAAGGCAACAGCTTCTGGGTATCGAGTGGCACAGTCCACAATTACCAAAATATACCTATTTTTTCGTTCTGTAACCGGTAATGGTCCAACAAAGTCAATAGCAATTCGACGAAAAGGTACATCTATTGGAGGAATACTCACTAGCGGTACCTTTGCTGACTTACCTTTTGTACTTCTCAACTGGCAAACATGACATGATTTACAATACATAGCCACATCCTCAAACATACCTGGCCAAAAGTAATGATGTAATATTCTATCCCTAGTTTTCTTTATACCAAGATGGCCTGAAAGAGGAATATCGTGAGCAAGTTCCAGTACTATGGCCCTATACTTCTGTGGTAAAACAACCTGATATATCTCTTCCTCACTGGGAGTCACATATACTCTGTATAGTATTCCTGACTTCATTATGAAATAGGATGACTGTTGTCCTGGATTTTCCTGAACTAAGCTCCTTACCTTATTCAAAGATTTGTCGTCAGCTTGAGCTAATTTTAACTCATCTCTGCTATACATCTTACCTACCTGTGGTAATATATTATCTGTTACATGTTCATTTAACTTGTCTATACTTACTTGTATCTTTTCTTCTTTTTCGTCTTCTTGTTTCTTCTTGGCCCTTGTTTGTACAGCCTGGCATGTGTTTTGATCAATATTCTTACCATCGTTTTCTACTTTTTCAGTGCATACATCTTTAGGAACAGAGGTATTTACATAATTACCTATAACTAAGTCCGCAAATGGTATGTCTAAAATCAGTGCCAACACTGAACCAGATATATATGGTGTAGTAACATTGATCCATACCTCTTCACAGTTTCTGACAGATCCATCTGCTAACCAGATATCTTTCATTTTACCTGTTCTCTCCATCCCTTCTACAAGACTACCATGTACAAAAACTGTGGAACTGCCGGTGTCACGTAAAACTGATACTGGCTTACCTTCAACTGTACCTTTTACAATTTCTATACCAGGACCCTTACCTTCATCAAATTTTGCATTTACAGCTACTCCTGATAATTTCACAACTTTACCTTCATCAACATCCTTCCTTTGTACACACTCTAAAACTTTATCTTTGTCTACACAAAGTCCAAAGCTACCTTTCTTACCTTTTTCCGTACCTTTCTTTTCAGTGCAATCATAACTCAAATGTCCTTGTTTATGACAAATGTAACAAGTTTTAGGTTTACTGTTATTCTGAGACATGAACGGTTTTCTGAAATCCTTACTCTTTCCTAGATCCTTCTGTAAGCCTCTGGTTTGACCACTATTATTACCTGATTGAGGTTTCATCTTGAAAGCATCATCTGATACAAGACTCTCAATCTTGTGAGCCACTTGATAGGATTCAGCTAAATCAACAACTTCATGAGCAGATTTAGGCTTGTGCTCATTAACCCAAAGCCTTAAATCCTTACTACAAGTTTGGAGTAATTGCTCACGCAACATCAAATCCAACAGTTTTTCATAACTGTTACCAACACTCTCACGTTCAAACCAATGTGCTAAATACCTTTCTAGCTTAACCCTGAATTCTCTAAATGACTCGTCTTTTTCCTGAATAGCAGACCTAAATCTTTCCCTGTAGGCTTCTGCAGTTAACTCATACCTTTTTAGAATTGCATCTTTAATCTTGTCATAATTACCACCATCAGCATCACTTAAACGAGAGTATGCCTCTAATGCCTTACCACTCAATAATGGCACAATACGAACTGGCCATTCAGACTTTGCCCATTTATGCAAGGCTGCTAGTTTCTCAAAAGACTTCAAAAAAACATCTGGGTCTTGACCTTCAATAAATTTTGGTAACTTACTATATTTCTGATCTCCTTTGTTAGTAACAGGTGCTGCAACACCTAGAGCTTGTTGCACTGCTATCTCTTTCTCCTTAATCTCAAGTTCACGCATGCGTATTTCTCTTTCCATCTCTGCACGTTTCAAATCACGATCTGCTGCACGTTCTTCGCGCTCCGTCGCTTGTATTTCCTTCCACAGGGTCAGACAATCTGTAACAGACCCCCCTTTTTCTACTAACTCGGACATCCATTTAGGCATGTCCATGACAAAGTTGAATTTCAGTCAACTAGTATAAACCCTACTGACAGATCCCACCGTGGATGCCAAATGTAAAGAAGTGAAATTTTCAATTCAGGGTTCTTTTAGTAAGGGGGACAATCAAAAAGATCTGTCAATTGGGCGTCAACCAAAACTAAATAAAAATTTGCATTTAATAATACCACAACCACAAGACAAACACAAAACACAAATATACACATATGAAACAACCTCTCCACGACCTCTCTTCTATCTCACAAAGACAATGACAAATACACGGAACTAAATACACATAACTAAAAGTTAAAATTAAAAGTAAATAAATAAATTAGTCCATCACAGTCCATAAATCACAAGTCTATATCAATCCAGAAATCTCAAAGGTTGTTCTCGTTTGATCCGAATTATAATACTGTTCAAATTTACTGTCTGTCAACTTGACAAATATTGAAAAACCAATACTTTGACAATATAACGTTAAATACTTCAGTATCTGAGACAAACTGTCAAACAAGTTTCTGCTATGTTTTAAATTGTAATTGTCCCGAAACAAATTCACTGACGGACTATTTAACCACACAGATATTCAGGTTGTTGTAATACTTAATACTTGAAAACTATCTGTTCCATTTAAACTATCAAATGTTAACCATACACACAGTATATATTTATCCTCATCTGAGATTCAACTTTATATATAGGAAATTGTCCCATTTTACTTATCACTCCTTTCTTTTAATGGTCTAAAATACTTCCATAACTCAACAAGTCCCCTGGGAAAGAAACAAAACACAATTTTAAATAACGGACCGATTTAATCCCGAATAAACGTAATAATTTGACAACCGTGCGCGCCATAATTACAATATGACAAACAAAATTTGATATCTCGTGCGAATATTTGAAACAGAAGACATAAGGGCGGGGCATGGTGTGTTTGTGTGACAAAACCTACCTGGGAGTTCTTTATTGTCCTGATGGACAAAATATTAATGAATTCTCCTGAACTGATCATTCCTGATATAATATCTGCCCTGACAATAGTCAAACTCCAACTCCAAGTTCCAGTCAGTTTTCAACATCTGACTTCAACACTGTCCAGGTGTTATACTGACAACACCTTATTTCAAGACTAGTGTTTCTAAATTAACCTGCCTAACCAGTTTCTCACCTTCACATTACCTGTTTGTCAAACTTGATTACTTTTGTTCTATTTATAAATCACTAAGATTTAAATCCAGGTAACACTCAAAGAAGGATAACTCAAAAACTTTACACGCGGTGAACATCAATTTCTTCAGGTGTATATGCTGTTTTATTCAAAATCCAACTTACTAAAATAATACCAAATTAGAATAATTATTTTAATCGTATCTTGTGCGTATTAAGTCTTTTCATCTTTCTACGGAAAGACCTTTGATTTTGTTAAGATCAATTTTTGCGCTACTTTTGTTTCTGAAATGTCGCTTTTGTTTCAAAACATGTCGATAAGATGTTTGGTATTTTATATCGAACTGTAATTGCGCTTTTGAAACGAATCCTTTTTAAGCGAAGACTTTTCTATATTGGAGTTATCTCCCCGTACAATATTCCATCTCTTCAGAAAATAAGGTCAATTTCAAAGGTCAAGGTCATGTTCTTAAGTTATCAATATAAGGTTTTTAATAATTTGACGCAATGCCAGTTCATTTGGATCAAAGTGCTTTGTTGACTTTATATGAGTTTTCTCCCCTTCAATATTCAAATTAAGTTGTTTGGTAGGATAACTTCTTAACCATACTTATATAAGATTTGGGGTTCTTTAAATCAAGACCTTGAAATTGTGGTCATGGTAAAAGTGATATTCTAGATTTTGATCTTAAAAATATTTCCATGCTAGAACATAGTAAAGATATCTTTTGCATAAGTTTGGACGACATATGACTTTGAATAAGGTTAACTGGAAGTGCCATTATATTCTAATTTCATGTTAAAGTACCTGGAAACCCTATAAAAATCAGTGTGAGGTTAACTATCATATATGAAACCGGACGTGTTATTTTATAAACCAGAAGTAGCAAATTATGTCCCGTATTTCAAGTAAAAGTATATAAAAACCATATATTTTTTCGAGTACAATAAAAGCTATCATTTGACACCGGAAGTAGCATTTAGTATACCGCAAGTGGCCAAATTTCTTTTTTTTTCATGTCCTTTTGAAACACTGGGAAATAACTGATCATCTCGCTTATCTTAAAGAAAAGAACTACAAACTATATTTTTTTGGAATCGGTGCAAGATAACCTATCTTCTGACACAGTTTTATAAACGAAAGTTACATTTTGTAATTAAAAAATAATTGTGCAAATCTGTATAAAAGTTCATGCAACAAATAACACATATGTGGTGGTAAGACATTCAGTGTACCCTGAACAAATGGTTTTTAATTTTTCTATTTTCAGTTCCTATCATGGAAGCTTCTTCATTTCAAAACTCTCCTGGTCACGCCAGCAGATCAAGTAATTATCCATTTAAAAAATGTTACAGGATTTAACATTACTTAATTTACCATTGAAAAAGTGTGACAGATGTTGCATGCACAGCAGAAGATACCTACACTGGTCTCACTCCAATTGCACTTCATCTGTTTTTCTCCCATCTTTGATTTAAACCTGAACTGGTCACATGAAGTTTGTATTTAATATTTGTATTTGACCTTTTATTTTATTTCAAAGGATTTCCAAGCAAACTACGGTGTACCATAGAACTAATTAAGAATGTATCTGAACAACACACGAACTGATCATCCTGTTAATATAACATGGTGTAGTTAATGTATGAGCCAACCCGTCACTCTGTCCAGCCAGCCTTGTGAGAATCATTTATGCACCAGTACTAGCATTCCTGCATTTAATTCAGGATACGAGTATGCATCGACTGGGTATAATTTCGATCTCTTGACAGAATTTGATATTGACCCGGTATACTTCTTTGACACGCCAAGAGAACTAAAAGACGAAATCAGCTCACCTTCTATTCATATTTCTGACATGGTATACATTAATGGTGGCGATGTTATTTTGTGTTGTTCTGGAACAAGAACCGTGGCAGAGAATTAATTTCATCTAACAGATTTTTGAATTGCCTAAAGATTTTGAAATATAGTGACAAAGGCATGTATATTGACCAATGCCGATAAGCTAAGAAGGTATCCCGAGAAGGATTTGTTTATTGTCCAACTCCAATGAGGCCGTCGTTACACTCGGAAGCCGAATTCAATTTGTTGACTTACCGGAAGTGAAACCTGGGAGATCAATGATGGTCGGGTCTATTAACTGTACAGGGATAGCCATTGCTAATCATATGATTTATGTTGGTGATTCCTCGAAAGTTCAAGTGCTTGATCAAATTGAACGACATTATAAACAAATTGACTGCTCGGATTTGTTTACCACCATATGCTTGAATCTAGATGGTCGTTTATACTGGACAACAACAAAAAACGATTATTTATGTTGCATTTCAACAGAAGAGTTTTGATCTACCGTTATAATTCGTCTATACTTGGTCCTAGCAATGATGAAAGTTATACGACGGACGATGTATTCCTTGAAAAACTATAATAATTGCATTTTTATTTACAATTATATTTCACTTATTTGATAATTGATTAAATTATTAATATGTACCATATTGTCCGTACGAATATGTTTTAAGAATATTTGGAACGAGAACAAATTAATAATAAGTTCAATGTGTAGATTTTAGTTGACCACGGGAAAGGGCGAGATATTCATACTGCCGTTGAAAACTTAGGAAATGTTCGGAAGTGGTAGGTTTTTTTGCTTTGTACCAAGACACCTATGGACCCAAAGTTGTTATAAATGTCCTTCAACGTACAGAGAGCGAGACACGGTTCTATCGCGACGTAGTGGATATCAATTTATCCAGCTGCCAGTCTAACGAGCATTGTCGGTAGACCCCACCGTACACATTTTTGATAAAACTGCATCCAGTCTCGGTCAACAGCTGGAATATGCAGCATAGCTGTGGAACCCGTTACCACGATAGTGATCATAAGAGTTTGAATGTATAGTTATATATAAATATAATAAAATTCCCATGAAAAACAGTCCAATTCTTTACAAAATGACATGCCAAAACACATGCACACATAATATAAGTAATCCCGACGTTTAGCAACTTTTTATTCATTCATGAATTTAAATATAACTTTACTGAACTAGATCAATATGGTGTCACAACAAAAAGCGAAACAGTTTAAATCAGTTAGGACTTTTAACAAGACAACTACATAGAAAAAAATTAAAGCACAGACAAAATAAGTATTAACTTTTCAATTAAACGATTTTACGAAAAATACCTGTTTCTTATTTTAATTCTAATAGTTTCGCCGGAGTATGTTCAAATATTAATACGAAATTCATGCGCTGGTCTTCAAGAATAATTTCGCACGGAGTATGTTCAGTTTTCAATTCATGCATTTGTATAAAATGAATTGAGGGGAAATTAATCCTTGCACTATCATCACTACATTTTAAAAATTTATTCCACAAAGAGAAATGTGTTAATTTAACATGGTTCTTTTTATTAATGCACATTTGATAGTAAAACATAGAATAAAAAAACTAAAGAAACGATGAACCATAAATCAACCGAATATTTAAAACTATTAGTTAACATTAAATGACAAAATAAGTAAAATTGATAACACAGAATAGCATAAAAAAAAGAAACGATTGGATAGAAAGTTTAAACGTTGTACTTGTTTTCCGGACGTCAAGCCTTTCTACCGGTCTCTACACAGGTTATCTGAATAAGACATTGACCCTGTTATTATTGAACATTGTTTT